GGTGGTGGTGGTGGCGGTGGCGGGGGCGGGGGTAGTGGCGGCGGCGGTGGTGGTGGTGGTGGTGGTGGTGGTGGTGGTGGTGGTGGTAGCAGTAGTGGTAGCAGTAGTGGTAGTAGTGGTAGTATTGGTAATGGTCATTAGTAGTATGGGTACGAGTATACAAGCAGCACGAGTAGTACCATTAGTACAGTGACGGTTTAGGGCACGTTTAGGGTCTCGGGTTTAGGCACAAGGTAGTTGGAGGCACAGGTAACCCCTAAGACGAACCGAGAAACTACGAAGCTGAAGGCTGCCGCTCTCATCGAGCAGGAACTGAGGGTGGTGGTCGAGCATCCCGGTGGTACGTTGAGCTCAAGGAAACTACAGGTGGGGAGTTTAGGGTAAACCCCTAAACCCTAAACCCTAAACCGTCTATAAGGCTCCTATAACGATAACTACCCACCTGAAACTGCCCTAGAGTTGAGACCTCCCGTGATGTGCAGCGGCCGGCGCCGCAGAGGATAACCCGTGCCGCTCAAGTTCAGGGTTCAGGATTACCCATAGGCCCCATAGTAGTTCCTTTTTCGGATTACTTTATAGGATTCTAAAAATATGAACTCCAAAAAGGAGCTACTTTGGGGCCTATGGGTAGATGCAGTGTGATGCTCGTTCCAACAGCTGGAAGCCGCACCCCGAGCCAACGACTGAAATACTACAGGATCTCTCTGCTTAGTGTAGAAACGAACCCAGATAAACCTGAGAAAGGCCTTTATGAAGCCCTTCCCCTGATAAATCCCTCATTCCTTTGCGTGGACCTGGACCGCACCGACGCAGAAGGGAGGCTCTTTCTTCGGTGGCGGAGGCTTTTGGTTCTTGAACATCCTCACCCTAATCCCTAAACCCTAAACCCTACACCCTAAACCCTAAACCCTCATACGTAGGAGTTCTGCCAGGGTTTCGGCTTTGTTCGGGGATTTAGGGATGAGGGCTCTATACGGCACGGTGATGTAGGGGCATTCATAATTACCTACATTATCCCTCGGGTTCCTTATTATAACTATACTATAAAGGACCCCAAAACCCTATTCTAATTATTAAGGCCCCTACATATTAGGGTTGGAGGATGCGGGTTTGGGGTCGGGGTTGTAGGTTTCGGGACTTCGGGTGTCAGGGTTACGGAGTTTAGGGCACGATCGCCATATCTAGAGTCGCTACTTCTCCAGCCGAGCAGCATTTGGAGGGCGAGAAAAGAGCCCGAAATGACGACAGGGTGTGCGTGTGCCGGGGGGTGATAAGTCCCTAAACAGTAGGCCCTGAACTGTCAATCCTCAATTTTTTCCCTAAACCCTAAGCCCTAAACCCCTAAACCCCATATGCCCTACACCCTAAACCGGAAACCAAAGGGTTTCACTCTTGAGATGCTGGGCGTTGCTATGGAGCCTCCGTGCCGGAGAGTTTGCCTAGGCTTGAGCCGCGCTGTGCACAAGGGAAAAGAGACGGCGCTTGGCTGGGATTGAGGGTCCTGAACCCTAAACCTTACATCCTAACGCCGAACTCTAATTCCGAAGCCCCAAACTCCCAAACTCCAATTCCTAGCCCTCAGCCCCAAACCCTAAACTAGAACAGATTGTTCTCTTGTGATCACCTTCATTATTATTTTTATTACTACTGTTATTATAATTCTTATTACTATTTATTACTATACTAGTATTCTTATTTATTTATTACTATTATTTATTATTCTATTGTTCTTATCATGACTACTACGTTTTGCTTCTCCGGCCCGGCAGGCACCGCCGAATCAAGGAGAAGTACGGCCAAACAGAGCCCCTCGGCCCCCATGGTGTCAGTTTGGGGTTTTAGGGTTTAGGGCTTCTAAACAGGATTCGTAGCCTAGCTGCCGCAAATACACCTCAAGACCACATCGGTACATTTTGCTCCCCTGCATATACAGGCCTTACAAACTAGAGGAGGATTTGGGAGTCCGTTGTAGCTATCAAAAACAACTGCAAAGCGGCAAATAACAAGGGAAGGCTACAAGTGACTATCCGGGCTATTAGGCGAGACGCTTGTTCATTATTCCGACCTGTATACTAGATGCCCTATCCCTCAGTGCTAAAACCCTCGGATTGCAATCTTCTATATCTTCTATGTTTGTGTACATATAAATATATACACACACACTGTGTGTGCACTTATAGTTGTTTGTTTATGTGTTGTTGTGTTTATTTAACTATGCAATTACCTGGCAGGCTAGCTAGCTAGTCAGAGCGCTTTGTGGTTGTTCGTTCAACGTCTTATTCGTTTATCTATGTATACCTGTTAATTTTATTATTAGGTCGTCCCCCAAGATCCACACCCTCTGTGTTCCACTCTCTGAGGTACTTGTTATTGTTGTTCTTATCATTCTTATTATTCTTATTCTTCTTGTTATATTACTAGTAGTAGTCGTCGTCGTCGTCGTAGTAGTAGTAGCATCGTTTTATTACTCTTACTGCTATCATTCCTAACATGTCCATTGCTGTTATTATTGTTGTTACTATCACTGTTAATACGATTGCTGTTATTGGTATTAGTATTGTTATTATGCTTATGACTACTATGATTATTACGATCGTTGTTATTTTGATTATTGCTGTGAATATTAGTGTTTTTGCAAGCAACTGCCGACAACGAGCTTGTTCCGGACTCGGAAGAAGAGATGAAGAGGCATGTACCGAGATATGTAGGGAAGGGTGGTGTCGTTTCCGGAGGTGTTCAAAGCGCTCCTTCTTTTTCTGGCCGGATCTCTGTGGCACCTCCACTTTGAGGTTCTGGCCGAGTGAGCTGAGTGCAACTGAGTGCACCCGGCTCAAACTTTACTCAGTTTTAGAAGGCGTAGGGCTTTGTACGGTTAACGTAGACTCCTGCTTCAATAACCCACCACCACCCCTAGCAAGGATCCCAATACTATGGCCCGTAGCAGACAGGAGCTTGTCAGACAGGGGCTCGAAGTATGTTCTGAACAAACCCAAGGTTCAAGAAGATGATGAATCGCACCAAGTTCGGCCCGGGCCTCAGCAACTATTCAGGGTTACTAGTGATACTCGCGTGTTTTTAGAAGTTTTTAGGCTTTTGAAGCCTCAGGGTCTAGGATTTACAGAAGGACTTGACAGCTGGCTCCTCCTGTCCTCACTCCCCGCGAGCCCCCACGAATGCCCTAAACCCTGAACCCTAAACCCTAAGCCCTAAACCCCAAACCTACCCTAAGCGGGCAGGTATGGATGCCGAGGATGACATCTACACAGAGGACTGGGACGCGGAACTCGCAGCCTTCCCCAGCCACTCCTGGCTTCTTCTTGTGGCATTTCGTTTAAGAGTTTAGGGGTTTAGGGTTTAGGGTTTAGGAGTTCAGCACCAGAAACGCAAGCATCCTGTTGTATCCCAGGTACGGGCCGGTAGTTGAATTTATTTTTCCGGGCAACCCAAACATATGGCATCAGACAACTGCATAAGCATCCCCCCGAAATGGAACCAGTAGATGAGAAAACAGTTCCCGTGCACATGAGCGATGCCTGGGTTCGCGGTGGGTTGAGGATTCAACATACCTTTCGTACGCGAACCAGCTTGAACCCAACGAACCTACACCCTAAACCCGAAACCC